CTGATTAAACAATCTTGGTATTTTAACGATAGAACATGAAGCAGTACACAATATAAATTTTGAAGTTCGCAAGTGTCAGAGCTAGAAGGAAGAAAGTTTAATTTGCTACCAACTATAGTTTCACACAATTAATAAATCGTGAATTATTATTTTTATTTTAAAAGTTTCGATTGTGTTTTGGGTATGGTAGCTACGCCAATGCCACTGTAACTGCCACCTGTCCGCACTGGTGGTTCTTCTCAGAATAGCTAGTGGCGCCAACCAAACGGGTTGCTAGACAACGGACGAGGCTCTGGCGACCGAGCAATGGCGGTATAACCATACACCTGACCAGGCAACTGGTTGGTGGAGACTTCAGCAGCCTTTTTTTTAAGGGAGGAAAATCATCTAATGATTGCTCCCGTCTGGGTGAGGCGGGAGGGAGTGTCAGACTCTTACTGACTAAAAACCACCCCGTTCCTTCTCTTGCACGTCGAGCCGGAGCCCCGGTTACCCGTTAGGTTCTCCGCGAAGCCTTAAGGTCAAATAACCTTTAAAAAGTCTGGTACAGAAGGCAACGGGAAACCACTGTAACTAATCTCCCTAGTAGTCAGCTTCAATGGAAAAGTCTCATATAGCCGGGGCCCCGAGTTCCTGGCGAGTGGGACAGGGGTGCTAAGAATCCCCCCCCAGGCGGAATAGAAACCTGGAATGTAAGAAGCTTAAAACAAGACGGAAAACTCCCTAATGTTACCCGGAAAATTATGCTGACCATCAAAAAGCGAAAAATCGAATATCTCGGTCACGTGCTTAGACACGATAGATATTCACTGCTTCAACTGATCATGATGGGCAAAGTGGAGTGGAAGAGACGTGCTGGGCGCAGAAGAAAATCGTGGCTGCGAAACATCCGGGAGTGGAACGGCATTACATCTGTCGAACAATTGTTCCGCATGGCTACCGACAAGGAGAAATACAAGAAGCTGACGGCCGACCTTCAACATTGAAGAGGCACTATAAGAAGAAGAACTGGAGACGGGCAGCCCTAACGCACGTTTACGTACCGCGCAGCTGTAGGTATTTAACTCTGTCCTGTCATGCGGCCGAGTTACACTACTGTATGATCATATTACCGTGCCCATGCTGTCTATACACATATCGTAGGAAACTCAAAACTATACTTTGCATATCGCGCGGTGTCGCGGAGAACCTAACGGGTAACCGGGGCTCCGGCTCGACGTGCAGGAGAAGGAACGGGGTGGTTTTTAGTCAGTAAGAGTCTGACACTCCCTCCCGCCTCACCCAGGCGGGAGCAGCCATTCGATGATATTCCCCCCTTAAAAAAAATGCTTTGCACATTTTGTTAAAAGAATTCTTGGGGCGCCATCTACAATCGATACCGAAGCTAAAAATATGTATGATTTTTAGAATTCTTGTCTGTTTGTCTGTTTGTAAATTCAAAAAGTACTGCATGTATTTACTTCGAATTTTGCATGAATATAACTACCAGGCTGGGTCAACATATAGGCTATAACTATATTATTACGCTATCATCTACAGAGGAGCTGTGAATCAAAAGTGCCTTCCTGGTCTAATTGAAATAAATGATTTTTGACTTTTTTTGACTTTGAATCACTATTACACGCGGACGAAGTCGCGGGGACAGGTAGTAGGCTCACATCACGCTACGGTCAATAAGGGAGCCAAGCAGGTTGTGAATAATGATAGTTTATATAAAAACACTAGCTTTTACCCGCGACTTCGCTCGCGTCACAAAAGAATAAAAAGTAGCCTATGTGACATATACCAATACACACAGCGCCATCTATACCAATACTTTTGTTTTTCCTCAGGAATATCAATTTTTTCCGGGTTAAAAAGTACCCTATTATTTAATCCGGACTTCTAACTGCAAAAATTCAAAGCAATCGGTTGAGTAGTTACGGCGTGAAGGTGGAACAAACAAACAAACAAACTCACTTTCAGATTTATAATATTAGTAAGGATTTCGAAACGCCTGGTCGACGCATCTCGTGACCTGAGGGCTGGTCTATCTCTCGGTCAGATGTTAAGCATTGCCATACAACGTGGCAATGCTGCCAGCCTTCTGGGTACTTTCTCCACTGACGTCGATGCGAACGAATTTTTTAATGCTCTCTGTGAATACTTATTTTTAGTTTTCTCTTATTTAATTTTTGTGTACGTATCTTAAGTTGTACATATTTATTTATTTTTTCATTGTTTGTACTTAGTTGCATTGGTATTTTAATTTCATAAAAACATGATATTTTATTAAGTAAAACCGCGGGTTACTCACGTGAATATACTGGGAAAAGCTCTACTAGTTTCGAACCACAGAGGGGCGTGCTCGGTCGCGGCGACGCGCGACGTCATGAGGAAGAACCCCTCTGTGGTTCGAAACTAGTAGAGCTTTTCCCAGTATATTCACGTGAGTAACCCGCGTTTTTACTTAATTTAGTATGTCTCACGATGATATTTTATGTTCATTTATTTATTTATCTTTGTATTTTCTTTGTTTCATACAGTTTGTCGCTTCTACTGCCGCGGTGTGATATACAGGTACTTTAGTTCATGACTATGTGGTTAAATACTAAGTTAAATAACATAACATAACATCACGCCTTTTTATCCCCGATGGGGTAGGCAGAGGTGCACATTACGGCACTAAATGCCACTGTACAAT